CAGCCCAATTCATAACCAGTACGCTACCAGAGCTCCTTATATCTAGCTTGTTGTTGTTGTTATGTGCCGTGGAGTCGATTATCTAGCTTAGACACATTCGATTTAAACTTTCAGAAATGGTTGTGGTTGTAGCTCCTCTCAGAAGAGAGGGTGTAGTCTACTTTACACATTTGAAAGTGTGCTGCTCTTAAGACTTGCTTTTACAAGTAGTTGCTGTCATGAATTATTTTAACGGAAATAAGGATATGAAAGCTGTGATATCGGTGTTTGTTTTTAATTGTTCTGAAGAAGTTGGAGAAGAAAAATATAATAAACTTAGAATAATAAATTGTCAGCTACAAGCATGATAAAGGAATTAGAAAACTATGACTTCCTTGAAAGAAACCTTCGAAACCAACCCAGGTATAATCTTGTGCATGAATTCATTTCAATGCAAACTGAATTCACATTTTTTTTCAGGATTATTTATCTTAAAGCCATAACATTGATTGGGAGCTAATGAGATCCTGAAAATGTGGAGGACTTATACTGGTAGATACCTTTGAAGTTCCATATTCTAACCATCTTTCTTTACAAGAAAAGCAGACATTTATTTCTTGTCTCAAAAATTTATCTTTGTCAGAAGAAATGGCAATGACATGTTTTGAGGTAGTTTTCTTGCAGAAAAATGCTGGATTTGTTTAAGACCCATTCCCATCCATCTTACTGCTTGCAGTCAAATAACCAGACTCAAGTTCCAAGAGATTCTGGGGCTTTGGATACCCAGAGGGATCTGAGAGGAGGCACCATAATACACAAAGAGAATATCAAGATTTTATTAATTTATATCAGCAGAAACCTGAGAAATATTTATGGGAATTGATATGAGACTTAGTTAGGGAAGAGAGAAAGTAACAATAGATTGGGATGAATTTGCTGATATGAGTCCTATGTAATAGGAGAATATGAATTAAATGAGTTACCTGGAGTGTTTGGGAGTGACTCTGTTCTTGTTGTTGTTATGTGCTTTCAAATGGGTTCTGACACATAATGACCCTATATACGGCTTCTGAATAGCAATTGGCGGGTTTGAACCTCTGACCTTATAACCAAGGATGGGCCGTGGTTAGCAGTCTGCTTCTTAACTTACAGCACTACACTAGGGCTCCCACTTGGACTGAATTGTGCCCTGCACTGAATGGAATTGAGATTCCAGAACCTTCTTGTTACACTACAGAGACAAACATCCGTGGAATTAGGGAAGATGTTCGAGTGGATTTATCATGTAAAGGCTACTCTCTAACAATATATCCCGGAGAGTCAAGAGGTCATTTCATTGACCAGTCTTTGAGAAATATATTGTTGAAAAGGGCCTTAGTCTCCTATTCACTTTTGGCTATTCTATGAAATCCAAGACAAAAATGGGAAATGGTGCTATTGTTAAGAGTTCCCTGAATTCCATGGGATGATAAAGTCCTGAAGTGCAGATACCAAACAGTACTTAAACCTGAGAGATTGGTAGGTGTTATTAATATAATGGGCGGGAGAGACAAAATGATAATCAGGAAGGCTTGGCACCCAGAAACTCTGATGTTGATTAAATAATCATGTTGTCCTGGGGATTTAAAGAGATAAACAGCTTACTCAAATGTTATCTTATTTGTGTAGATTGAACACAATAGTCAAGAACCCAAACAATGTATTGCATTAGGCAAATTTGCTGCAAGAGAACTCTTCAAAGTGTCCGAGAACAAAGATATCAGTTTGAGGACTAAGTAGCACCCGACCTAGGTCCTGGTATTTTCAATCAGCTCATATGCATGTAAAAGTTGGGCAATTCATTAAGAAGACCATGGAAGAATTGATGCAGTTGAATAATGGTGCTGTTGAAGATTATTAAAAGTACCATGTTCTGCCAGAATAAATAGCTTTTATGTTGGAAAAAGTACAACCAGAATGCACCTTACAAGTGAGATGGCAGTACTTCATCTCTGAAACTTCTGACATGGAGGAATTAAAATCTTTTCCTTTGATTTATTCTGCTTCACAGGGAAAAATATCCAATCTATTATTGTAAAGGAATGTATAGGCAAAAATAAAATCAAATTTTCGTTGCTGTTTTTTTGTGTGTGTCCCACCCATAAAGATGAAGAGGTCTTGTATGGATTTTCTAGAAACCTATTTTCATATCCACTTATGGAAATGAGTCATTATGAAAGAATGTCTCTGAAATATGATTGTAATCCTTGTTCTGTGATTCTAAGAGTAATATATAAAAAAAAGAATTTTTGGCTAGTCAAACTAATTTAGATTTGAATTATAGCATATTGTAAAAGAAGAAGCATTATATCCACATATATTTTAACTTTAAAGTTTCCTAATGCTCCGAAAGAAACGCAATCTTTTTTATTGAGTCTTTGAAGGCTTGTTTTACTTGCTTATTTCGTAGAGTATAAATGAAAGGGTTCATCAAAGGAATAAATGAGGTGTTGAGCAATGACACCACTTTATTAAGGGCCACTCCTTCCTTTGCTGGTTTGAAATAGATGAAGATGCAACTTCCATAGGTGATAGAAACGACAATTAGATGGGAAGAACAAGTGGAAAAAGCCTTTTTTCTTTGCTGAACAGAAGGGAGTCTTAAAATGGTCTTGATGATGTATATGTAGGACACAATTACACACATCAGTGTCAATATGAGGGTGAGCACAGCCATGGTTAAAACAATTTGTTCCACGAATTGCGTGTCTGAGCACACAATCTTCAGAAGAGGGGATGCATCACAGCCAAAATGGTCAATGATATTGGAGTTACAGAAATCTAGCTGAATTCCTAGGCTAAGTGGTGGGAGTATGACAAGTAATCCAGCCAGCCAACAGAAAAAGACAAGTATCGTGCACACTCTGTCATTCATGATGATGGTGTAGTGCAAGGGCTTGCAGATGGCCACATAGCGATCGTAGGACATGGCAGTTAGAAGAAAGAATTCTGTTGCCCCTATGAGGATGACAAAAAATAACTGGATGGCACAAGCATTATAGGTAACAGTTTTGTCCCCAGTTGTCATGCTGTACAGGAATCTAGGAACACAGACAGTTGTAAATATTATTTCTAAGATGGAAAAATTCCGAAGGAAAAAGTACATGGGGGTTTTAAGGTGAAAGTCCATTAGTGTGAGAAGGATAATAATTAGATTTCCGGAAACAGTGAGAATGTAGGTGAGAAACAGAAATACTGTAAGAAACAACTGTAGTTGCGGTTCATCTGTTAGTCCTAGCAGGATGAATGTTGTTATTGCAGAATGGTTTCTCATTAGTGATTTTTATATAATAAGCCTGTGTTTTTTATATCAAACTTTGAATCTGAGGAATAGAATATAAAAATAATATTTCAATATGCAATGTGGAGAAAATCTAATCAAGTCAACAGAAGCACTGTTTTCTTCTTCTTTTACTAGATCATCAGCATTGTTGATATAGGACTGATTGCACCCTATTTCATTTCCCTGAACTCTACTTTACCCAGTTCTTCAGAATGGGGTTCTTAAAATATCAATCTGAAGTTTGATTTCCTCTCTAGGACCAATTTGAAAGTAGATAGAAAGTATAAGAGAATTTCAACAATAATTGAGAATAAAGCATACATCATTATATCCCCAGTTGGCGTTCCATACATGTGGATTAAATAGGAAAATAAATCTATATAAAAATTAAATTTCTCCATTTGTCAGGACAGTGTATTAAGTTGTTCTCATACATTATGGCAAAGTGTTATCACCAGAGGCTTATCTGTACTATTTTCCTTGCTTTGCAATCCTTGATTATTACAAGCAACGCCTACTTAATTAACCTATAAGCGTAGTGGTTGTGAGTAGGGCTGCTAACCTCCAAGTCAGCAGTTCGAAACTACCAGCTGTTCAGCTGGAGAAAGATGAAGCTTTCTGCCCCCGTAAAATTTACAGCCTCAGAAACCCAGTGGAGGGTTGATATGAGTCAGAATTGACTCCACGGCACACTACCACCACCAACAGCAACCTGTATCACAGTGACCTTTACTGTTTGACTGACCTGTGACAGCATCCCAGAGCTACCATGAACTTCCAAGTCTAATACTCCTACAGAATTTATGCTTCCTTTATAATAATATGCTGACTTATTGAGTATGTGTTCCTCCTCTGTTTCTGCTTATTTCCTCTTCTGAATTCTCTTTTCAATATCCATTTGATGCCTAATATCTCACCCATTCCAATTCCAACTAATGGAATATCCTATTACCTTTCCTATTACCTTTCCTAGAAAACACAGGAATCCTGGTGTGGTGCTGTGGGTTAATGTGCCAGACTGCAAAGCCATTTGAACTGTGAGGTTGGTGGTTCAAACTCACCAGCTGCTCCTCAGAAACCCTATACAGGGTCACTGTGGGTCGGAACTGACTCAACAGCACTTAACAACAACAATTTATGTTCACAATGTCTTCTGAGGCTACATAATTGCTTCCCTGATAGCATGAAATCTATATCCCCAAGATGGAAAGAGGAGAGAGAATTCCATATTGTATAAAAAGCTGACTTCTGTGCCATGATTCCTTTCTCCAAAGCCTCAACTTGTCCTTGGGAATGTTATTAATCATTGCTCCCCCTATTATGCTGATTCAGAGCACCTTTCTGCCCAGTACTCTGGGCCAAGGATGGACTCTGTGTTTATTCCCCACAAGAATTACTATTTAGCAATGACATTACTAAAGGCATTACTATTTAACAATGACATATAACATAAAGATCCTGGTACAAATGGCTTGTACTCAACTACGAAACTAGAGGTTGGTGATTTGGACCCACCCAGTTGGAGTGGCACTGTCGATAAGTACTGGAATACTCAGCACAAGGATGGAGGCTCTAACCCACAAGCCACTTGGAAACCCTTTACAGGGTCGCTATGAGTTGGAACTAACTCAACAGCACTTAACAACAACAAGTGGACAATGAATAAAGAACATGGAGAAGACATGATGCATGTAAATTATGGTCTTGATGAAAAATACTAAATGTTTCATGGACTGCCAGAACAAACAAATCTGTTTTGGAAGAAGTATAACAAGAATGCTCCTTAAAGTGAGGTGGGTGAGATTTTGCCTTGTGTACTTTGGACATGCTATTAGAAGCAACTAGTTCCTGGAGAAGTACATCATGCTTGGTAAAGTAAAGGATCAAAGAAGCCCCTCAGGAGATGGATTGACACAGTGGCTGCATCAGTGTGCTGAAACAGAAAAGATAATGGTGATGGTGCAGGTGTGGGCCATGTTTCACTCTGTGGAAAATGGATTGCTATGAGTCAGAACTGACTTGATAGCACAATAGTGGTGTCATTTAAGAAAGGCTTAGTGATTTGCTTAGGTAAAGATTACATCAAAGAGAATTGTATGGAGCAGTTCTACTCTGTAACACAGGGTTTGCTACTGCACTGTCTTGATGAGAATGAACTTTTCTGTAAATTATGACATGAAGAATAAATGTGATTTTAAAATGAGGTATGAAGTCCTGGTGTGATGCTGTGGGTTAATGGGCCAGACTGCAAAGCCATTTGAACTGCAAGGTCAGAGGTTCAAGCTCACCAGCTGCTCCTTGGAAACCCTATACAGGGTCGCTATGGGTCGGACCCCACTTGATGGCACTTAACAACATCAACAATGGTGTAGGTATCCTTCAGCCAAAACAAACCACTTGCTTTTAAGTTGACTCTAATGGTGACTCCAGGTATGTCAGAGTAGAACTATGCTCCATAGGATTTTCAGTGCTGGTTTTACTGAAGTGATGGTCAGGGCTTTCTTCCAATAAGCCTCTGGTGGATGGAGTTAAATTGCCAACCTTTATATTAGAATCCAAACACAGTATATGTTTTTCCCACCCAAGGAGTCTATGTTGTTGAGTCGGTTCTGACTCATATCGACCCTGTATAGGGTTTCCGAGGAGCAGCTGGTGAGCTTGAAGTGCTAATCGTACAGTTCAAACAGCTTTGCAGTCTGGCACATTAACCCACAGCACCACACCAGGACTCCAGTAGACATTCTTAAAAATCAACAAATAACGAGTCTCCTTTACAAGTCTATTTTCCTCTGTTGTTCTTTCTGAGCATCATTGCTACCTCCCAGGAACTCTTCATTAATTTGTTCATATTTTTAGTGATAGAGACAACATCACTCTTCTAAGATGTTTTTGAGCTGGGGTGTAACCCCAGTTTAACTGGATTGAGATCTAGAATATTTTCAAAAAAGCTGTAATTTTAAGGATTTTAGGTAACTGCTCATTCTTTGTTTTAACAATTATTCATTGATGAAAATGTTAATTAATTATCTAAAATGTTTCACAGTCACATAGACTATGTGTTGAACATCTGGATCTGTACAATAAATGACTAGAATAAAATTTCTCCATGAGACAATAATTATTTTGTAATTTGAATGGTTTTCATATGATATTTGAATACATTATCACCAAAAATGTCCTAAGTGTTCTTTTCTTCTGATTTTAGGTAGTGTCTTTGGCTGGGTTTTCTAGAGAAGCAAAGCCAGAGAATGTATGTATGTATATATGTATGTATGTATGTATGTATGTATGTATGTATGTAAGGATCTCTGATGGCATAGTGAGTTGCTTGTTGACTATTAATTGCAAGGTCAGCTATTCAAATCCACCTGATGCTCCTAGTCTGTGGTTCAGATACCAGGATGGAGGCTTTGGTTTTTCATGACTCATATAGCTGTAGGAGCTAGTGAAACTAAGATCCACAGGTCAGAGGACAGGCTTTTAGCTACAGAGGAAAATGAATCCAATATAGCAGGTATGATGGCAGACCACTGACGACGTCAAGGATCACCAGGTAATACTGCAGGCCTCTGGCTCAAGTCCAAAGAACCAGAGGTTAGATGATGAGCCAATGCAGGATCCTGACCCAGCTAAAAGCAAATCAGGATTTCCATAGTGTCTACATGTAATTGGAGCAGGCCACACCCCAAGGAACCGTCTTTTCAATTGATCTGCTGTTTAAACCAGATCTCATCATTGTATTAGAACTCAGCATGGGGTGATTGCCAAATCTTAACTCTTAAAATACTGGGAATCCTGGCCCAGTCAACTTGACTCAAATCTGTGAGTATCACAGGAAACCATCTTCTTCTTTTTTTAAAAAAATTTCTACTGAAAGCAGTTGCTACAATGTGAGAAATTTACAGACACTTTTGTAGAAAAAGGTGCTAATAGATACATAGTATGCCTGAGTTTGGGCAGCCTATAAGTAATATGTGCTCACACAGAGATTGCTGTACTAAACTAAGAAGTGAAGCTTTCATAGGTGTCATACATACATCTTCCCAGTTAGTACCTCTACTGTTCTTTTCATCTTCTTTTACCTGCGTAACCTAGGACCATCATGCTGACCAGTACACTACTCTCCAAATAATATCACTGGGTGGTTACCCATTCTCTTAAATAATTCTGTCTCTCTCACAAATCTGAAAGTAAAAAATCTTGTGCTTTCAATTTTGAAGAAACAGCTGTAATAAAATTTCCAAATATCGCATGATTGCTTGAATGACTATAAAGAAAGTATATTTAAAACTGGAGTTTTAGCTATGTAACATAGTCTTCCTGCTATGAAGGATAATTTCCAATTTTGGAAAGCTACCATTTATCATTTTTCTGTTTTAAGAGAATAGTACTTTTAATCTCCATAATAAAACTAATACATATTCATTTACGTAGATACAACAGAAACATATAAAAAAGGAAAATCTATAATCACATCACTAGGATCCATCATTATTAACCATGTCTTGCATTTTCAAAATCTGAAATGATACATGTTTAAGTATTCATATTTCATTAAATAAATATTATACTGTAAATATTTTATATGGAATTTGCCCTACCTTATACTTGATAGTTTTTTAAGCACTTATAATGTGCTCTTTTCATATCATGAAATATTCTTTGAAAACACAATTTTACTTGTTCATTATATCTCATCATATGAGTTAAGAAAACCAGAAAACTTTTAGTTCTAATATTCAATATTTACATAATTTTAATTTATTGCAAAATAAAATTTCAATAAACATCATTGCATATAATTAATTTTAATTCATCTGATTAATTCTACATTAGAATACTAGTCAAAAAGGAAATATCAAAAGGCTTTTAATAATTATTGCCAAACTAATCCTTAAGAAAATGTTTACCAGTGTATAGTTCCAACATTAGTATCTGATAATCTTGTTTCCTCAGAGCCTTTGGAATTTGAATATTATTAAATTATTTTA